AAAGCGAGTCAGATGTTCTGTGTGTCATCCTCAGGAGAAAGTGGAAGACATCATGTAGGTCTCTGGTTTTATAGCAGACCCCAGAATCCTAAGCATAAGCAAGTACTTTCCTGCTGTACCTATCTCTTTCTAAGAGTCACTTCTGTGTGGTGGGTTACTGTATAATGGTTTGATAACGAAACAGAGCTAGCAGTATTGAAATATCACTCTTTTTAAATAGTTTTTATTGATTGATTATTAATTTGGAGTTAATGCATACATAATTCCATAGTTCAGTTACATCAAGCAGAATTGTACAATTGCTACCACAATCAGTTTCCAAACATTCCTTTTCTTCTAGGACTCCTTGACACGATCTCCCTTTTATCCCCCACCACTGCTGTACCCCCTCCCTAAAACCCTTACTCTGCTTGCTGTCTCTATGGGTTCATCAATCCTGGGGCTCATACACCGAAACACAGGAAAGCATAGCACAACTTCATGAGGGTGACCTCCAATGACATAGCACCTCTGAGATACACCCTCATATGAACAAACCAAACCAGAACCAACCAAAGATACAGGAAATGTTGAAAACCAGATCAGGTCCAGCATGCGTCAGAGGGGGATCAACTGACAAGTTTAACTGTTCAAGTCAGATTTATGCCTTTGATCTCCTATACTAATCTCTCCAGTGCCCTCTGTTAAGTAACCACTTTCTTCCTATCCCTCAATTGTGAATAGAGGGAGTTCACCTGAGGCTTATTTCCTATGTAGTTCCCACAAATGGATCTTGGGTTCTCACTGCCATCTGTAGCCCTCTGCAAGCTGGATTCTTACACTTTTAGGCTCTGATATAATCCCCCCTTTAACTTCAGATGATATGGATGAAAATCCTTCAGTGACTGATCATGGTGTGCTTTTTCCATGTGAACGTAGTTGACATCTCATTTAGATGGCTGCTTGCTTGGACACAAGCCTTTAAGACCCCAGACGCTATTTTATCTGCTAGCCAGGCACCAACTATCTACATTCTTAGCCACATTTTGCTAAAGTAACTGTCTTTTGTGTTCCCTTCTTGAGGGCAAATGTTGAGCAGGGTCATCGTGTAAAAATTAATTGTTCTTACATTGGAGCAAGGATTTAGTGTGATCCTAATACCCATTCCTGGACCTATCTTCTTGTTGTTGTTGTTTTGTTTGTTATTAATTGGGAGTTAATACATATATCATTCTGTAGTTCATTCATGCCAAGCAGAAGTGTACAGACATACTTTTCCACACATACTGTTTCTTCCTGGACTCTTTGACATTGTCTACCTTTTACTCCACCACCACCCCTGTACCACTTACGGTGCACCCCCTGCCGTGAAACCCTGATTCTACTTGCCGTCCCTATAGGTTCATCAGTCCTGGGTTTCATTTACCAACAAACAGAAAAACATATTACATAACTTCAAAAGGGTGACCCCCAATGACATAAGACCTGAGATTCACCCTAATATAAACAAACAAGAACAAAATAAGATAAAATGTCCACAGAGGGCACTGATGTAGCAAGACCATGTTTATGCACCTACAGCAACTC